TGCATGGGAATATATGTTTGCAGCCACAGATGTTCCATACAATGCACTAAACGTAACTAAAAAATTGCTTTTGTTGCTGTTGACATATTGGGCCAAATCCAGCAGGGACCTAAACACCTCTCATTGCTCCTAACATTTTAACCTCTGCTGATGTACGTGTTGACCGAGACTAGCTCATTTAGTCCAGCCTTGGGTCTCTTTTATTTTCACATGTTCCTAAAACATCTTCATGAAGCCACAGCTTTCAGCTATTGCTGAAACATCTTCCATTCTGCCACCTTACTGATTTTAGCATTAAAATCTTTAGCCCCTGTGAAAAGGACCAAAACAGAACTTTTCTCATCCCCGTTCCTTTTCTGGGTGGCTGTGTCAGAAGCCTAAGCCTTCTCTACCTCACCCCTTCCAGCATCATTTTTCCTACCTGTCCATACTCAGGTTGCCTCAGGTCCATTCACCAAGTCAGTATTATACACTGAACTTGGGGGAATCCTACCAGGGCTGAACGTGCCACTGCTGAACATAACAGAGACCTGAAGAAACAAAGGAAGTGACCTGCACACCTGAATTCATGAACTGGAGACGAGGCATCCAAGAAGGATCTGCCCCCCTTTCAGATATCTCATGAAGTGGCCAGATTTTCAGAAGACCCCATCATTCAGCAGCTCCCAATCTTCACAGAAGGTTGAGCTCTTTTGCAATTAAAGAATTATTTTTTGCAAAAAAATCTTGTTATTCTAATAAAAGATATCATTTCTACTACGAGTCCTGATTGCTTCTTTTTGGTGTCTACTGGGGAGCTAAGCCCTTATTAAGCAGCACGGGTTTTGATGATCTGAGTCTCCGTCTTGTAACACAAATTCACTCCAAAGGCAGTGCTGATTTGCAGGGTTCACAGTTTATCAGCATAGATCTTTTCCCAACTTAGGTTTACTAATGTACTGCTTGGTCTTGATTTATAGCCGATGTTAAGCTATGTTCAGTTTTATTATTTTTGCATTTGTATGAACTGTGGTACTGGAGGTGAATGCATTTTTTGAATTTTTATAATGCGATTAGCAATAGTCAACAGAGTGAATGCTACTTAAATGTCAGGGATGCCTGGGCCAGTCAATGGCTATTCACAATTCAGAGAAAGCCCTGGCTGGCAGAAGGGAAGTTAATCTCTGAGAATTTGCATTTGGGATGGATAAGCATATCCATCAGCCAGAGAGGCAGTGATACATATTTGGGCAGAACTGTCAATCCCAGACAACCATGGTTTACATTTCAAAGGGGGGAAGCCTTTAGCAAGGGGGAACCATTTGCAGAAGCTGGACACCTGAAAGGAATAGCAAGCAAATACTGATATTTCTCACCTTTGAAAAGGATAAGAGAGGGATGACACCTCTTGTGAATGACTGTTAGCTAAGGAAATTGGATTGGGGGCTATCTGGCTGGGAAGGTGTAAATATTCCGATATGTCTTAGATATAATTGTAAATCAGCAATGCCACCTGGCCTGACAGGCAGATACATGTCTGTGGAGAGAAACTCATCTGCATAACGCAGACATGCTCCTCAAGAATTGAACAGAATATACATGAGTGAATAAGGTGATGGCCCTTAAGGGACGCCTTGGGAGAAGCTTCTTTGCTAAAGATCTTTGAGTGATTTAGTCCCCCAGCTGGCAGACCTGGGATAACCACTATGTCAAGCTGAGAAGCTACTTCCAGGGAAATACTCCATCAGGAGAGAGCTATACAGTCACCTGGGCCAAGAAAGAGGTATTGCATTTTAGTAAAAGGAGGAGGGTGAGATCCTTCTCTGATGTTGTGGGGGTTATTTCCTTGTATTCAATTTGTACAATTTCTGGTTGCATGTTTATGTGATTGATCTTGCTTGAGGGATAAATCTTTTTGTTGCTTCATTTACCTTACTGCTTGCCTCTGGTAAAGCTGATTTGCAGAGCAATTGCTGGTAGCTCTGAGTGGAAGAGAGGACCAACAATTTTGTACAAACCGCAGGGTTATGCCTCATAAATCGGCAAAACTTCCTTTGCTAGAGCTGCAGGACCTGGACCGAGATAGACAGAGCTAAGGCTCACTGGGGGCAAGATGCAATGTGAGAGGCAAATCTTAGTTAGTTTTCAAGCTTCACAACAGTGGAGGGAGGTTGGGGGCAGAAGGAGACCCTGACAGTGGAAGAGCACACACCAACTGCAGATGCTTCCTCAGCCTGAGGATGGCTATTTATACCTGAAAGCTTGCTAAGAAGAATTTTTCCAACTATCTGAGTTGGTTTAATAAAAGATATCAGGTTTACCCAAAGAACCTTGTCTGCTGATGTCCTTAGACCAACACGGCTACAACCTACACCCCTGTTTGTGACAATCCTATTGAAGGCCAAAGGAACTCTGGTCACCATTAGTGTAGCTAACAAACGAAGAGGTGGGTACTGGCGTACTCAAATCTCTGAGATCCACTGATCATCTGTGTCTCCCATTGGTTTGAATGGGGTCAGAGGCCTGGGGAAACCAGGATTCCACCTGATGGAAGGCAGTAACATCCAGACCTTGAATGAGACACCCCACAGGAGCTTTTCTGTGCTCAGGTAATCTTCTACAGCCTGCTGGAAACAGCAATGAGCTGTAAGCAGTGACTCACCAGCTCCTGAGCCTTACCTGATCAGTATGATAACCGACGGTGTCTGTGCCATGGCTCCAATCATGCTGCAAACACACATCACGCAGAGGAATGTCAGGAAGGCTTCTTGGCAACCAGGACTGGGGCATTTTCCGGGCACGACTGTAGCGTTCTCGGCTGGGACCAAGCTGAGGCATGCGCAGCCAGTGAGATTCTGCAAAAAGCACATGGCACAGGGTTTAGTGAGAACAGATCCCACCCCCTCCCCCCACCCTACAAGACCTGGCTTTTTACACGGGGGATGCTGCCAACTGGCATTTCCATTTACTCCAGCGGTAAATTAACTAACTGCTAATAAAGTCGCTTGTTGAGCCAGTTGGGAAAGGCTTGCAGTTTTCAAAAGAGCACCGGCTCTGATTCATTCTAGCAGCCAGGTAGCTCCTTCCCTGCCTTATTCTTTTCTTCCTCTCCTTTCAAGTCTTGCAAACAAACGCTGCGGCAAGAAAATTGCCATCAAGTTAAACCCTTGTGAAGAGAAGAAAGAAAAGGATCTGTGGCCCTGCGTCATGACAAAAGTGTCACCAGATTAAGGTTATAATTACTTTCCAATCTACACCTCTGTCTTCCTGACTGTTATAATTAAATCACTGTAATAAAAAGAGGTAAATCTGCAGCTCTGCTTGCTGCTGCTGCTTGGCTGTCTCATTTGGGTGCCTGGTACGCTGGGAAAGGAGAGGCCACGATGTGTGTACCTTCTTGCGATGAGCTAAGTACCAAAGGGGTGGTGGCAGAGACACCGGTGATAATGGCCTTCAAATGTATTATGGGACTAATAGATGCCATCCAGTTGAGAAGGATTTGTGCAGAGCTGAAAGGTGCCGTCAGGCAAGCTAAACTTTATCAATATGCGCTCAGAAAGAAAAAGAAGCCACCACATTCCCTTTGATCTTTCCTGCAAGCAAAGGATGTCAGAAGAAGATTTGTTTGCCTGTCAGATTATTATTTTATTTTTTTGTGCTCACCCTGCTGAAATTTCGGAGCGGGGGAATGTCAGCACAATTAAGGCCCACAATAATAGCAAGGAATCCCTTAATGAATACAGAGCAAAAACTATCATAAATGATTCATGGCTTGTCTCTGCCAGGCAGCTGGCTTTGCAAGTCACATGTTCATAAGGAAACGAGAACACCAGAAAAAGATAATAAAATAACATACAAAATCCAGAAGCCAACTCCCCCCTTAGGTTCAAAGAGAGCTTCCTTGGCTTTTAGGCTGGGTCTTATTTAGGGCTTCACAACAGCAGATGTTCTAGTTCAATGCCTCCACAGATACCAACAGGGACTCCAGCATCTCCTTGCTGACACTGATCCCTCTCTGTACGGGAGTCAAGCATTTCTTTTGAAAATCACTTTGGCAGACACAAGCCCACAGGACTCCTGGAACCACATTATACTACAGCATGAAGACAGGTGCCCGTTTGTCTGTAATAAGCACCTCTCCTTCCAGCCTGAAACAGCCACCTGCCAGATGGTCAGAATGAGGGCAACTAGTACATACAGTGCTGTCCTTACACCAGTCCAATGTGGACAGACTGCAATGCCGCTAGTTGGACTTGTGCTCGCAATTTATGGGGGCAAACCTCATTGGGATAAGCACCATCTAACATCAGCCTACCACTTCACTGGCAATGTGCTCATGCTGGAGTCCTGGTATAGATAAGACCCAAATCAATTCTGCTGGCATACCTGTTATGGGAAAGGCCTTATTGTGCACAAAAGCCAAGGGAGTCTCAGGCATATACGTGGAATTGGCTTAGTCCCTGCAGCTGAAACCCAGTAGGAAGGAGGGACGCGGCTCTTATGTTCAGTGGCCAGATTCTGTCCTGACTTACGTGAAACCAAATCTGGTGTGAATCCAGCAGAGTTACACTGGTGTCAGGTAAGCAGGATGTCAGAACTGGGTCTCAATTAGACATATGTATTGGGCTAGGATGTACTTGAGGTGTATTACAGAGGGTACTGGGAGCAGCTTAGTAGCTGCAAATCTGACTGGGGCAAAAATCATCCCAGGCAACTGGAGCCCCAGGAGTACTCTCCACTCCAGGTGTGTCTACCTCCTCTGCTGAGACCTGTTCCCCTCTATCCTCTTGCAGTCTCCTATGGCAGTGCAACACAGCTTGTTGCGACTGCAGCACTGTGCAGGGTGCCCAATCCAGTCCTTACCTAGGAGATCTTTGATCGTTTGTTACTGACATTATAGCATGTGCTACAGCAACACACTGGCATCAAACACAGAAACATCAAACGTGGAAACATCAAACACAGATGCTCACCCTCTTTCTGTGAAGAGGCAATACTTTGCTCCACATGCCAAATCACTATCGAGTCCCACAGAATGCTTTGCAATCCTGTCGCCACTTGGTTGCAAATTTATCATCATCTTCCTGCAACTCGAAAGCTTACTGCCTGAGCACTGGATTTTTATATGTGGCAAAATTTACACATACAACTGGCTCAACTGCTTGTGGAAATTATGAGGGGAAACTCCCCATATTTGTGTTATCAAAAAAAACTAATAAAATTGGCAGCAACTGGTGAGCAATGGTTGGTATTTCAATGTAAAGCCTTAAGGGTGCCAATACACATGCAGTGAGGCTGCCCCATAATTACAGCGCGTTGGAGCAGTCTCGACTAATTGAGTCTGCTGAAGTGTGGTAATTAGCATGCTCCAGCAAATTCCAGTGTCATGGGTATCACTGTCCCTGTGCTGAAAAATGGTGGCAGGGGTGCTTTAACTAAAGCTCGTTCAACAAGCTTTAGTTAAAGCACCCTCGCTACCATTTTTCAGCCCAGGGATGCTGATACATGTGATGTTCTGTGTGCTTTAATTAGAATGGTTCTTGGAGCCGCTCTAATTAAAGTACCCCACCCCCACTCCCAAAGCATGTGTATAAACGCCCTAAGAGTTCAGTGCTGTAACATCAGGTTTGGAAATCATGTTCTTCTTGCCAAAGGGGTAATTGAAAACCACCACCATGCAACAAACAAGATATACGGTCTATGGCTCAGGTCTCAAGGGTCATTGATAGCTGTGGAATGGTTAGAAAGAGAATTTTCTGAAATGAAAGAGCCGTTTCTTTCCCCCTTTAGCACTAGTAAACCCAGAGCCTTAGGCTCAACTGCACCTCTGCAGACCAACTTAATCACAGAGAACAATGGTGTCTAAGACAGACAAACTAACCGAGTGCTACAAACTACATCAGAAGTTGTCCACAGAGAGGAAAAGCTGGGAAACAAACAATGGGGTAACGTTAAATAAAGCATTCAGAGAACTTTATGTCCCTGTAAAAAGCAACCCTTGGCTCATCACAAGCATATAACATCCACAAGGCCTTCTAGACAGGTCATTACATGGATTATGGGTTTAAAACTTGGTTTGGCAATTTGGCTTTGCCTCAGGGCCACTGTTTGGCCAAACCAGTCCATAATTCTTGATAATGTCCTTTCCAGAGGATGCTATTGCTTCTGTAACTCACGCCCAGAATGTTACTGCCAGAACCCCAAGATGATGATGAAGTAAACCAGGAAAGACAGAAAGAGACTGTGGGAGAGCAAGATGTTTGCTAGGTGGGTTTATATTTGTGATATGTTAGGCATTGTAGTTATATAATGAGCAGGAAGACCTGACACAATCATTGGAGACACATGCCGTGCTTCCTTTACAATGCTCTGTTTTAAGCAATGAAAAGTTTGCCGTAAGCAGAATCAACATAAATTTCACATTTATGCTCTGCAAGTAACTAGTTAATTTTTTTCCTTGCCAACGACCTGGCATAGTGGGCAGACATCTTTCTACTGATGCTTTGTTCCATGTCAACGGTGTTAGGGAGCAAAATTGGGCATAAGGTTAATGCCAAGGAAATGCAGGAGATTAACACATGCAGCTTTTGCAATTTTGTGTGCAATGTCCTGGCCTAAAATCCTCTTCAAAGACCTAGATGTTGGCATCCTTTGCTGCTGCTGAGAGGTTGGCTGTGAAACCATGTCATTGGTCCTGGGCCCATGGGTCACACAGACAGAGATCTTATACTGCAGTCACTAGAGGGTGGAAGAGAGGCTGACACAAATCCAGCCTGTCGCCAAAACAGATGCACCTGCGCATGTAAAGTAAAAAAATCCCCATGTAGCACCTGTCCACTGAAATTCTGACTGAAGATGCCAGTGAGGTCAGATGCAAGGGCTGGTACCCTGCAGGGTGGCTAAATGGCAGGAGATTTCTGCTGTGCGCCATGACTCATTGCTTATTAGCAGTGAGCCCTTGTCTCAGCCTCCTGGTTGTTCCAGGCTTGTGTGTTCCTTCATGGAGGGAACTGAGGGCATGAGATGCACCTCACTGTTCAGCTTTAATGCCCATCTTTCTCTGCCCTCCTCAAGCACCAACCTGCTTTTTTTTGAGTTGCCTGCCTCCTCTCACACACCCAGTAGCTGTACAGCACATCTGTCTCTGGACTGGCACAGTGGAGATGGGCAGGAAGCTGTCCTTTGTTTTTTGCGAGATGTAATGATTTCCCAGTTTCTGCTGGGGTGGCTTAGGATTAAAAGTGAGCAATCTACATGGTATGCTCACTAGAAAGGAGAGGCAGAGCATTGAGCATATCAGAGGCAGGGCCAGTGGGGGGAACCGCAAAGCAATACAGTTTCACAAATAAAGAAGGGCAAAGCAGAGCAGGGATAATTGGATATGGCGCGCTGTGCCGTTTCGGCAGCCGTGAGCAGCCACTGCACCCAGTCTCATTTAATAAGATCCCGGGTACGCAGAAGAACAAGGGGCCTGGAGTGCTTCAGAAGAGATTTCTGGCCAATCTATCTTTTGTTATCTCACTTGTAGCACTAAGGATCCTAGTATCCATGGAGCCCCTTTAATTCCTGCAGTGATCAGTCTTAAGATAGCAAAGCTGTGATAATAATAAAAAAATAATGGGACAGTCTTTTCAGGCATTTCTTTCCTCCCCCACCACCCAAAAAAAAATAAAAATCCCTCATCTTAAAAGGCATCATAGGAGATTCTGAGTCACTAAAGAGCTGGTCTCCTTCCCCAGAGAGGGTTTGTTCTTTAAATGAAACAAACCCAGAGACAGTGAGACTGAATAAACAGAGTGCCTGTGGCTATCAATGTGAGCTGGAATCCCTGCTGCTCCGCTGGTCCTCTGTTCTCGACTCTGGCTGAGAAGGGAGAATAGAGAAAAAGTGGTTGAAACAGCAGAGGAAAAGGAGGAAAGGGAAGGAAGCGGGAATGAGGAAGGCAGGAGACGATGGAGAGCAGAGGAATTAGGGCCTGTGAAGAAACAGGAATGAGGAGAAAGAGGGGAGGCAGCAGGAAGCAAGCGATCTTTCTATAAGCGGCCAGGCGCAGAACCCGTGAGTCCCTCCAGGTGGGTCTGGACTCTGCCACAGGCCCAGGCTGGTCACTCTGGGGTCTGACAGATCTTTATGTGATGTAGGGAGACTGTCAGAGACATTTATGTGAGCGAGTGAAAGATGGCCTATTCAGTTGCTCTCACTCTTAGGTGAGAAGATGCGGCTAGGGGGCTTCAGCCACTGTTGTGTGAAAATGAGCAGCTCTGTACAGGATATACTCCAGTCTTGCACATCTGTATCTCGCTCTGTCTCTCTCACCCACACATACACATGCACACACACACACAAACCCACCCGCGCAGATGGCTAGGAGACACTGAGTAAATCAGGACAATTACCGTGCTGTTGCAGCCAGCAAAGCAGGCGGATAAGTACGTGATCCCGTCTGCCCCACAGACTGGAGTGAAGGAATCGGTTTGGCATTCACAGTTGTTATTGCAGGGGGAATATGGGTCCAAGGGTGAGGTCGGAGTTGCGCTGTAAAAGAAGCAGAGTCAGAAATGCATGGGGAGTGCCATGACCCCCACTTGCTTCCTCAAGCAGCGCTGCATGACAAAGGCTTTGGGAAGCCAACAACTGGAAACATACGGCATGAGGGGCAGCAGAAAAAAACTCTAGGTCATATACTCTGACACCGACAAAAACACACTACCCCTTCTGGTGCCATCATCTCTCTAGGGTAGCTCAGGACTGAGAGGGGGAATTTTAAGTGAAGTTGCACAAGACACATTTTAGCACTGCGCAGCCCAAGGCTAGCAGCGCTCCAAGGCAGGAGCGGCTGGACGGTGTGCATCTAGCATAGGAAGAACTAGTAGCAGAGAGGGACCCCATCACATCCAGAGAACCCTGAAATAACACAGCCTCATAGTGTCCCATCAGCTCCACAGGGCACACCAGGTCCTAATGTGCCACCGAAAATGCAGCCAGGCAGTGAGTTGGGCAGCAGTAAATAGCCAAGTTTACAAAAGGATGTGCCCCATTTCACCCTGAAATCCTCAGTCAGGCACTCAAAGGTAAGCGATCTCTCTGATTCTCAGCAGTGGCGTGTACCCGTGATTCTGCCGACTTTGGCAGTGGGAGTAAGTGTCCACAGCTTGTAAATAACTGACCTTCTGTCTCCTGCCACTTGGGCTGAGCCCAATGGAAGTTACTTCCTACGTTCCTTTTTATGACTTATTTCCTAGCACTTCTGTGATACAGGGTACATTCAGCCAAGGTGATACCGGCTGCAACATTAATGACTTTAGTGGCGTTTCCCTCATGCAGCCCCTCGTGTATGCGTGCAGCAGTCTTGTTAATCTGTATTGTTACTTAGCCCTGGAGGCACTTGAATATTTGAGTGATGGCTGCAATAAAAGACAGCCAGACAGAAAACCAGAACGGATACAAGCAGATTAGCTGAGGTAACGTGCCACTGTGCTTTACTGTCCAGCCAGGATAATGGGCTGGTGGGTGTGAGGGATGGAGGTGAAAATCAGTGTGCACTCACTTGTTTCCATAGGGAACAGTAACCCCAGCAACAGGACCTGTGTCACAGCCCAGGAAGAGGAACGAGACGTAACAAGCTGTGGACACCAGGTTAACTAGCATGGCCATCCTGATGGCTCCGAGTGCAGACAGGCTGAGCTTCTTCACCAGGAGACCGCCCAGGAATATGCCCAGACATGCACATGGGATTGCTGTCATGCCTGAAAGAGGAAGAAAAGGTTAGGGAGAGGCATGATGGGACAGTCAGAGCTGGAAGACCAAACTGTAGAAGGACGCACGGTTACTTTTCAGTGACTATCTCAGGGTGCTGGTGACAGGGAAAACCCCTCACGGTGAGCAGTGCCAATGTGGGGAAGCATCCCAGAGACTAGATGCTTATCTGTGCATGCACGGTCTTCTCAGGAGCAAGCAGTTTCCCGGTTTGAGAGGACGATGGCAAGACAACCTCGTCTGGTCCCCACTCTTCCTCCTTACCATGCCATCTGGTGCAGACCTCTCCATCTGCAATTCTACCTACAGCCCAATTTTTTAATGATCCAAACCAGGGCTGTCCAGTGTCTATATGGCCAGGCTCTGAATGCCTCGCGGGCTACATCAGCAGGGCCTGTATCACGCATGGGCCATGCCAGCAAAAGCCACAGCCTCCCAGGTGGCACAATGTGGTGACATTAGCCTTCCACTGCACTATGTGCCTGTACGGACCCCTTCCTCCCCCACAGCTGCACTGTGTGTCCCCCCCACTGCACTGCATGGGGTGACCCTCTCCTCCCACTCTCCCCACATTGCATCATGTACCCTCACAGCTCCAGATTCACCCTCAGCTTCCCACGTGACACACCACGCTGCCCCACTCCCTGAGGAGTGGGTAGAAAGCAACAGCCAGAGGAAGGAAGGGGAGCCCAGAGACTCTGCTGCAGCCAGTGGGATGGGGGAAGCAACAGCCAGGCAGAGGTCCTGGGGTGACAATTTAACCCCTTACTGGCTCCATGATGCCCCTGGGTCACCAGCTGAACAATCCTGCTCCAGTTCATATAGCCCCTGTGGCAAGTGCCTCCCACGTAGTCTAACAAATCTCATCCAAGATTTGCAAAAGGGACTAGGGATTTTGGTTGCCCAACTCAAGGCTCCTCAAAGAGGCCTAATCTAAAGGATTTCACTGATCAGTGCTGTCTGAAAAGCTAGCTTCTTTAAAGACCTTTAAGTTTGGTTCTCACACTCCCTAGTCACTTTGGAAAGCTGCTGAAGGAAATGTCTCACCATGTTGGGCCTTTTCTGGCTCACTGCCCCCCACCTCCCACTGCTGCTAGTTATACCCAAAGGCCTTGTGTTGACATGACAAGCTGAATCTAAATTCTGCAGCAAGGTCGCTGAATGTGAAGACCCTCATGAGCAGTAGCTGGGAAATGCTACACTAAGTTCATTTAAATTAAAAATGGAGAGGAGCCAGCAGCAGGACAGCAGCCAACAAGTTCTTTAGTGTGATATTAAAATCAGAAGCTGCTCGAAGCATGACCAGGATGCATCTGATGGGCTATGAGAACAGCTGCTTGAGGCCCTTTTGTTGGCTGCATTTCCCATTTGAAATGCACCAAACTGAGGTGGAGATGAGGGCTTTCCAGAGGAACTGGGCTCCCCGTCTGTGCAGACAACTGTAGCCATTAGGCAGGCATAGATCTTAGCTAGATAAGCACCTCTGCTCCTTCGGGCCCATTGACCCCAAAACACTGTGGATAGCTGTTGGGGATTTCTGCTTTAGGTCAGGACATTTAAAAGGTGGCCTTTGCTGTATCCCATTGCAGCTCACAAAAACAGATTAAATCTAGAGAAACCATCATGGTTTAGCATGGCCTAATGTGTTGAGCACAGGACTGAGAGGGGAGCTTTGGTTCTTGGCTCTGCTGTGGATTCACTGGGTGCAGCTACACACAATTAATGTGCAGCAATAAACTTTGGCACATATTGCACCAGAGTTTATTGCTCACGGGCACTGCGTTTAAACGACCACAGCACACTGAGCCAGGTTGGTGCACCCCCAGCTGTCAGAGGGTCCGGGGGGTCAGCCTGCCAGCCCAGGGCTGCTCCTGGCTCAACATGCTGCAGAGGGGATGGCTGGGGCACAAGGGTATTCCAGTGTGGGACTAGCTGGCAGGCATTGCCTGCATAAATCATTCTTGTGCCTCAAGCAGCCCCATCAGCATCTACACATGCACTTCTGCACACTAAAAAAACTCTGCAGTAGGCTAGCACTTGAATTTACAAGTACAGTAAAAAGTCATAAATCTAGTTTTCAAATTCCAGGGTTCTCAAAAATCCGGCACGTTAAAAAAAGTACACTACATCCAGGAGTAGCCAGTCCCAGGGCAGCGGCCACACAGTTTCAAAAATCCAGAATTTTCAAATTTCCAGCAGGTGCTAGATCCCAAGGATGCCGGATTTATGAGGTTATACCGTACTATCCTATGGTAGATTTTATTATTTGACTGCGGCCTAATGGGGCACATGTGCACACACTGAGATGTTTACTGCAGAGCTAATCAGGCAGCTCCACAATAAACGTGTCATGTAGACATGCCCACTAAGTGCTGTCAGCCCATTCATAAATTTGGGTGACTCACTGTTTGGGTTACCAAGTTTTTGACAGCGTGGGCTTAATTTTCAAAAGGGTAGAGCACCCCTGATTCCTCAGAAACTCAACTGCTGCTGTATAAACCATAAAATCACAGAAAGTGAGGGTTGGCAGGGACCTCAGGAGGTCATATCTAGTCCAACCCCCTGCTCAA